ATAGGTCGTTTGGGTCTTAATAACTGAAATTTTGGTTTTTTTTTTTGTTTTTTTTTTTTTTTGGGGGGGGGGGTGTTGTTTGTTTTTTTTTGTTGTTGTTGTTGTTTGTTGTTGGGTTTTTTTGTTTTGTTTTGGGTTGTTTTTTTTTTTGTTACCTGTAGTCTTCCCCTACTGAGGTTAGTAACTGTGCTCTTGGAGACTAGTGTCTTCCAACTTAGCTGCCATGTTTGAACTCATGACTTTACAGTCCTCTACCTAATACAGTTAATGACTGCTATCCACGGCTCAGGGTTAAGGACTTCATAATACCTGCCTAGTTCCCTGGTAAATGAGCATGAAGAGCTTCCAGTGTGCCATTAGCACTACTAATGTGAAACTAGGGCATACATAGCCACAGAGAAATAGAGGATACAGCAACATAATGCTGTTAGGTAAATTAGCTGTCATTTAAGATGGTGGAGCAAAATAACTTGATTTTCGGTTTGCTATTGGGTGACTTTGGTGCGGCCTCTTCTTTTCCTGAAGAGTGTATTAACGCCCACGTTAGGTACTCCAGTAAAGCTTTCCATACAAGTTACTGAAATCAGGAAATCTGGCTGTTCTGTCTTTTCTCAAATGGCTAAACTACAGCAACTTCTTTACAGGTGCTGTTGACAGAGTGGTTAATGGAGAAGTCTATCAGGTAAGATAGAAGTATTATCTGCTGTTCTACTCTGAGAACTTTACCTTAATCTAGACTAATACTTCTGATTTCTTGTCTCTACTGAACTTTCATCTCTGAAGAGGAATGTCTGTCCTGATAGCTCATTTTTTAAAGCTGTTAATATGCCTCTCCTCTGAACTTAGAGGCAACTTGAAGCAGCAGTCCATTTTTAATTATGGCTTAATAGGACATAGCCATAAGCAGACTGACAGGCTCTGTGATATGACTTAACACTGACTTGCCACTGGCTTATAAGCTGAGAGCATGCTCTGACTTCCTAGTTTAAAGCAGAGTTTTCTCAATTACTTGTTCTTTAAAGATAATTCATTTGTACTGTCAAGATTGGTGTTATAAGGAGCTGACAGAAAACATTGTACACTTCTTAGTGACATAAAGTTTCATGAAATTAAGCTGCTGGCTAAGTAGCTCAACCATAGCATGTTAGTCAGCCACACTAATGACAAAGGGAGGAAATCATGGAATCATAGAATGGTTAGGGTTGGAAGGGATGCAATCCAAATTCTGTCATGTCTGTAAAGGACATTGACTTTTAGTGTGAGTAAGTTCATAAATGTCTCTGAAGCACACAAATAAGTTACAGGGAACAATTTAAATTCCTATGTACAAAACAGTAGCAAAATAAAAAAACTACTTTCACAGCAAATATTTAAGGTGAAACAAACTGGGAGATCTCTAGGCGCTACATGGCACAATGTGGTGCTTGGCATTGTCTTCTGCTTTCTTCAGATGTAGCGCACTGGCACAGTTTGGCTTCCCTGTCAGCTTGAACTTGTGTTTGATCCCTGATTGCTAAAGACAGTCCTGTATTAACTTAGTACAGTCCTGCTGTAATCTGGCCAGACCTTTTTCATGTTAATGGTGAAAATGTGGTATCATAGAATCATAGAATAGATAGGGTTGGAAAGGACCTTAAGATCATCTAGTTCCAACCCCCCTGCCATGGGCAGGGACAACTCGCACTAAACCATGTCACCCAAGGCTCTGTCCAACCTGGCCTTGAACACTGCCATGAATGTGTTATGTGCTCAGTTTAAGTAGAGTCCTATTTTACGTAGCTTCCAGGCAGGTATCTGAAATATTCAGTTGTCATGTATTAAAGACATTGCTGTTCCTTCTCTTTAAGGAGAGTAACGGTACAAATGACTCCTGTGCTGCCACATGCCAGGTAGATCGACTGCAGTCAGAGCCAGAGAGTATTCGTAAGTGGAGAGATGAGCAAAAGGAGCGCCTGGAGCAACTTGGTAAGGAGGGAGTTCGTTGCAGTAGTTTTCTTGCTTGTGAATAACTTAATGGCAGCTTTTTCAGCAGCAGAATTCTCAACTATGTCTTCCAGCTCTTGGGAGCATAACATAATTCTTGAGGTTGAGCAGCGGGTCTGGATAAGTCTTCCAGGGAGCAGACTTAGTACTATTGTAGGAGTCAGCAAGCAAGTGGCTCTCTGAACCTTAAGAGTGTTCTTGTGGCCTGCCCTTTACTTACAAATAAGCTGACAGAAAACGAACAGCTTTTATCAGCAGAAAAGAGTGAATAAATACTTCAGACACTTTCATTTTTTTTCAAAGGATGAAGATTGCTTGTTTTGTAATACTGAGGCTGTAACTTGTCACACAGATCTTAATCTAACAGCTAAGCAGTGGACTGGTAACTAAAGAGCTGTCAAATGCAGTGATACCTGCCTGTGGACAGCTTCTGAGAGCCTGCAAACTGGTATGCTTTCCATTTAGATTAGCGAGGAGCCAGTGTGATTCTGGACAGAGCTGGCCCTGTTGTTCCTCTTCTGAGCTAGTTATGGCAGAAGAGCTTGTGCTGACCTATGGCTGGGTACAAGAGCATGCTGAGTGCCAGGCTCATTTGCTTTGTTTAAGCATAGAGGCTTTTCTGAGCTTTGTCCTAGCACTAGCATAGTGAGGTGACTGTTCCTGGTTATGAGCAGTTTGCAGGCCAGTAGACCTGCTGGACCAGTATTAGTCTACAGATGCATATCCTAAACTGAAGTGGACTGTCCTGGTTAAGCAGTGCAGGCATTCTGTTTAGCTATTTCTCTGAATTCATGGTATTTAGAGTCCTCAGGGCCTACCTAAGGGCCTACATCAGGAAGTCTCCTAACCCTTGTCTGTGTAGATCAAGCAACTGTCTGCGCTAGAGCGCACGCTGAGCCATCAGCTGAGATGTTAGCAAGATACAGTGGGAACAAACAGGACTGACAAAGTAATTCTTAAACTTTCAGATGCAAACTCACGAAAACAGGAAGCAGAATGGAAAGAGAAAGCAGTAAAGGAGTTGGAGGAGTGGTATGCAAGACAAGATGAAAAGCTCCAGAAAACAAAAGCCAGCAACAGGTAAGATTGCTTCAGTCATCTGAAGAATTATGGTACTGGGCATGAAAGCAGTGGGGGGTGAAAATAGTTCTAGTATGTCCCATGGCACTAGTCCTTCAGACCATTAAAGTAACCTCTTTTACTAAGAAATGGGCCTCCAGCAGTAGACTATCTTTTTAGGTTTTCTTATCTAGATTACATGTCCCAAGAATATCAAGAGAAAGCACTAAGATGATCATGAACCAGAATTACTGAAGATTCTTTAAGACACCAAGTTTGACTGTGGCCAGAAAAAGTTTTAATCTACCCACTTGCTTGCACACTTCTAGCTGCACAGGAATTGTAATTACCTGCCTTGAGACTAGCAATCTTACTTGCTGTCTGTAGAATACATGGAAGTGGCCTTCTAGTTAGTCTTTGGTACAAAGTATTTCATTAGATATCTTAAAACCTTTGGCTGCTCCTTTTGGAAACATTTGAAAAATAACCTGGCTCAGTTCTGCTAGTGAAGAATTAAATGCTGATTCTGCCTAGGTAGGGTTTGAATTGTGCAATTATGGGCCCTGGGGCAAAAACTAGTGACTGCTAGTGTGGTAGGCACTTCTACTTTCTTAGAAAGTTCCCTGTGGGATTTGGACTTAAAGCTACATGAAGGTAAATGTGATGGTACTGACTTAATAACATTTAGGTCTCTACTTCTGACCTAGGGTTACTAGTGTCACTCTATCCAGGTAGTCATCAGGGCTGCTTTATACTTCAGGAACCCACAGACTTCAAGATTAACTGTTTTATTGAACTGCTATTTTTATTATCAAAATGAACAGCAGGTAAGTAGAGCCCTGGGTAGACTCTGCTTCCTATAGAAGTCTGGATTTGACACATCCATTTGCTGAGGTGCAGTCTGTTGGCTGGGCCAAGAAAGATAACAGGATTGGCACTACTCTAGCTGGTGGCCTGAGTTTATGATGCCCCCATGGCTTTATTATGGCTGGTATTTGAGTGCAGATATGCCTTCTAGAGCAGGGTCCACAAGTGTTGCACAGGAGTGTTTGGCATTCACATCTGTCTCATAATGTAGGTTCCATCCACTGGAAACAGCCTAACACTGACCCTGGGACTCTAGCCCTAAACTAGCCGGTCCCAACTTGCAGGATGTAGCAGAGCTTTTGTGTGCCCCTCTGAGCCAGGGGCTTAATGGAGATGTTCCCTGTAGTAGCTGCTTTCCTGTAGTAAGTCTTGGTGAAACAAGGTTAAAGTGGTTGTTAAAACTGACTTCAGCTCTGTTCTCTACTTCTCATCCTTATCTCTTTTCTCCTGCCTGCTTGCCTGCCTGTTGGACTACTTGCTACCTAGGGTGGCAGATGAAGCTTTCTACAAACAACCCTTCGCTGACGTGATTGGTTATGTGTATGTTGCTTAACTACTAATTCTGTTTTGCTAGTCAACTAGGCAATGAGGATGATTGGAAATAGTGCTGAATGTCTGTCTGAGGGTGATTGCTGCATGCTTCAGGGCAGTATAAGCCATTAAACAGCCTTTGCTTTTTGGACTGGCTCTGATCTGCAGTATTCCTGTCTGCGCACTGCACAGCACTTTCATATTAAGTCATGTAGTGTACATACTACTGGAATTTTGGTGATGACTTCAGTAGTCTTCAGGTGTAGGAGTTTACAGTTGTTTCCAGGCCAGTGAACACTGCTTACAAGATGCTTTGCTGGGTGCGTGGGTTAGCATCTGCAGTCTCACACGGGTTCTTTATTTAGCCCTAGTAACTTCCATGAAGCAATACAATGTTTAATTGTATTCTTTGTAAGAGCCACTGAGCTCCATCTGTGCTCATTGTCTACATAATCAGGAAAACATTCAAGCCGTACTTGCACATAAAGCTCCATAAGCCAAGGAAGGTAGAAAGGAATCACATGCCATAAATCGGAGTAGAAGAGGTATGTGCATATAGGAATAGGCTGCTGTGAGAGAGCAGATGAAAAGTACGAGCAGGTGCTATTTGAAAATCAGTGATAGCTGCTGGGAGAATGTTTAGGAGCAGCTCTGTAGGCATTTTGCCAGCCTAATGTCTCAATGGGAATGCAGCTGTGACTGTGCTAGGTTCTGTGGGATGGAAAGATAGCAGTGTTCATTGGCTTGTTTTAATTTATTCTCTTAGTTTGTAGACTTGAATTAAAAGATAGCCATGTCACAGATTCTAAGGTGGCACCTTTAAAAGGTGTATTGGTGAACCATGGTGTGGCTTTGAGTGCACCAGTATTGATGGTTCAGTGTGGAATTCATTACCTAACTGTTGCTGAATGTAAACCAAGACTTGTGAAATGATGGATTTACAGGTGGTGTTTGACTTTTCTGAATCCTCCTGGAGCTGATTTTGATATATGTTTTTCCCAATAAACCCCTTATTTTCGTATATCCCATGCAATTGTGCAGTGAGAGTGCTGCATAATAAAACAGGCAGCCTATTTCCTGAATGTAGGCTAAGCTACTGGTGCATGTTCAGCCAGCTGATCATCTGCATTAAACTCATTCTCATTTTCTATATCTGACTTAAACTTTCTCTCCTTGTTTCTTTTCTTCTCTTCACCTTTAAGCACAAACATAAATCATCCTTGCTACAGCCTAGAACAGTTAAGTAAAAAAAATCTTCGCTGCCCCCTAAGTGTCATGTCACATAAAATAGCGGTGTCGTAGTGACCCTTGTCTTCAGTGGTGTCTGTAACCTCCTCATCCCTGTGAATAGTGCTCATGGGAGCGTCATCTTCACTGCTTTCTCTGTACTGCTTGTTGGAGTAGATGGATTTGGTTTGATCTCTTGATGCTTTACTGCTCTTGCACTTAGACAACTGACAGGGCCCTGGAGATCATGTAAACTCGATGCTGGAGTGTTATCCCTGCATTGAGGCAATGCTGTTGGCAGCATAGCAATGACAAAAGGAGACAGCTGGGAAGCCACTGGTACTAACCTGGATGTAATGTACAAAGCCTCTTTAGAGTCTTCTTAGGATGGGAGCTCCTGTGGGCTGACCTCAGTGAGTCATGCCCTTTGCTAAGATATGTATTAGTCTGTAACATCCACAAGCATGGAACTTAATTCGTAAATTCCTTTTGATTAATGCTGCTTTGCTACAGCACTGCGAGTCATCAGCAGATAGTTTTATGATAGCCAGTAGGTCTTGGGGCTGATGTAAACCCCTCAAATGGAAACTATTTTTGCTTGCAGGGAGTTGTAAATTTCCATTTGACTAGTGTCCAATGTAAGCTGTCAGATGGCAAAGGCTTAACTAGCTAAGACTTGGGTGTTTCTCTATAAATAAAATGCCTACATAGGGGTACCTTACTGCCTGGCAGATTGTGTGGTGACTCAGTAACAGTTCTTAGAACCAAACACCTGTATTCCAACATTTTACACAGCAATCTCTGCTTGTGCATAGCACACTACTGCAGCATACTTTCATCTCCAGGGTTGGGGCAGTGGGAGCTTAAGTGGCCATTATGTCCACCAGCAGCTGCCAGGTCACATTTCTTATGAAACGTGCTGAAACTGCATCCTGTAAGAGGGAAGGAGTGCCTTCTGTGCTGGGCATTAACACAAGGTGCATTGCATTGCTTTTAGGGCAGCTGAAGAAGCCTTTGTGAATGATGCAGAAGACATTTTTCCGGGCACTGAGTGGGAACGTGTGGCTCAGCTCTGTGACTTTAATCCCAAGTCTAGTAAGCAGGCAAAAGATGTGTCCCGCATGCGTTCAGTCCTCATCTCACTCAAGCAGGCTCCGCTGGTTCGCTGAAGGAGAGCGTGATGAAAACACTTACAGATGCAATATCCTAACCTTACTCAGAGAAGCTATGTTTGCAGTAATTGGATTAACTGTTTCAAAATTTATTTTTTTTTTTTTTAATTTTTTGGACCAAACATCATGATGTATCTAGAGCTGATCATTGTTCGATTGCATGTTTTGACTCGTGTTTCCTTTCTGTGTCTGAAATGGGAGAATCTCCAAAACTAGTCTCTGTGCTGTTGTGCACAGAGATGTCACTTCCCACATTACTGATATTAAAGATCTGTTAAACAGCAAAATGTGTTGACTTTGGATGAATTAAGATCTGCTCCCTTTCGACAGGGGGTGTTTGAATTGAGTATGTGTAGACCTTTATTTCAGTTGGTGCTGATTTCACCTTGCTGCTGACTGTCCAGCCAGTGATGTTCCTCGTCTCTGGGAGGATGTCCTGCTTGTCTTTATAAGCTTTCCTAAAGCTCTTGAGAGCTTTAGTTTAAAAACTGCTTCTCCATCCAGTTTATCGCCCAAGATGTAAGCTGTAAGAAACAGGAGCAGGAGGCTGGTTAAGGAGCTTATCTCATTTGTAGTGGAACTGAGGATACTGTCGTCTTCAGGTAAGCAATCCTGTGTAGTTTCCTGCTGTCACTCCAGCTGCACATCTTAAGCTGGAAATGCAGTACAGGGCACTGCACAGTTAAAGCCTTTAACATTATACTGCATGTTTTTTTTCTGTCATATGCCCAGTGCTGGCTTCATACGCAAAGTCCTGCCGTGCAGAGGCTGTCTGGGTGTTTCTGAACTGTGTCCTTGTCCTTACTGACTCTTGCAGACACTTTCTCCCACTAAGGTGGTGGACTGGAGATTTGGAGAGTGAGAGAAGGGAAGACTTGACCTTACTATTCCTCATCTACTGGCTCGGAGCCCTGTCTGCCAAGGTGGTTAAATTTTGAAACAAACTGATCCAGACAATCTGTTCTGCTGCTTCCTTGGCTCTAATATCACCCAGCATTCACAGGGGCTGTGTTCTAGCCTTGCTCTGGTAAGACTCGCCTTAGCTGCTTATCTTGTAAGACTGGTGTGTTCAGTCTCATACATTGTATTAGTGGTGGTAAATGGCATCACATTTAGTCGGTGACTGGACACTAGTGGTGTCCCTCAGGGCTCAGTACTGTGGCTGGTGTTGTTCAGTTCACTGATGATCTGGATGAGGGGATCGAGTGCACCCTTGGTATATTTGTGGATGACACCAAATTGGGCAGGAGTGTTGATCAGCTGGAGTGTAGGAAGGCTCTGCAGAGGGATCTGGACAGGCTGGATTACACAAAGGTGTGAGGTTCAACAAGGCAAAGTGCCAGGTTCTGCACTTTGTCCACAACAACCCTAAGCAATGCTTGGGATAGAGTGGCTGAAAAGCTGCTTGGCAGAAAAGGACATGGGGGTGCTGACTGATGGAGCTGAACATGAGCCAGCTTGTGCCCAGGCAGCCCAGAAGGCCAATGGCATCCTGGCCTGTAGCACCAACCTGTATCAGCACTAGTGTGGCCAGCAGGGCCAGGGCAGTGATCATCCCCCTGCACTGGGCACTGGTGAGGCTGCACCTCGAATCCTGTGTTCAGTTCTGGGCCCCTCACTGCAAGAGAGGCATTGAGGTGCTGGAGCGGGTCCAGAGAAGGGCAACGGAGCTGGTGAAGGGCCTGGAGCACAAGTGTGATGAGGAATGGCTGAGGGACCTGGGGGGTTTAGTCTGGAGAAGAGAAGGCTCAGGGGGGACCTTATCGCTCTCTACAACTACCTGGAAGGAGGATGGAGCCAGGAGGTGGCTGGTCTCTGCTCCCAAGGAACAAGGGATAGGACAAGAGGAAACGGCCTTAAGCTGCGCCAGGGGAGGTTCAGACTGGATATTAGGAACAATTTCTTCCCTGAAAGGGTGGTCAGTCACTGGAACAGGCTGCCCAGGGCACTGATTGAATCACTGTTCCTGCAGGTATTTAGAAGGTGTGTAGACATGACGCTTAGTGGAATGTTTTAATGGACTTGGCAGTGTTAGATGCATGGCTGTACTTGATCTTAAAGGTCTTTTCCAACCTAAGTGATTCTATGGTTATTTCACCATTTTAATCAAAGACATGGTAGCCTCTCTGATGTGTAACAGAAGTGCTGCAATACCCTTTGTGAAGGTTAGTCCAGGCAGTTTGAAGAGGGCTGCAGATGCAGATTAAAACTTGCAAACATTCAGGGACGTGCTATGCAGCAGCCCTGTCCCTTCGGTGGGTGAGGTGCTGAATACATGGTTGCCACTTGGGCTTCAACAGTTAAGTTGTACGTTGCTGTTGTTCATGTCTGTGAGCGACAAGCTTGTGTTTGCATGTGTATTCACAAGCTATTGATGAGTGGTGGTGAAAATGACAGTAGACCACAGGCCTGGAGGCTGAATTCTGTGGAAGATTAAAGCAGGAAATTTTTTTCTGAACTTCACAGGGATACCACCGGTAAGTTTAACAGGACTGAAGCACAGAGCAAGTACGTGGAATACTGGTACTTGGTGCTAGCCTTCACCTGGACTGAGAACGTCCTTTTTTCTGCTCACCCCCAAATTCCGCAAAGGCCTCAAAAATGAATTAGTAATTAAATAAAGTCCCCTGCATTACATATACAGTGTTTAAACTGTTAATTTGAATTTACTGGAATTTGAGAGATCACCACTTGAGGGGTTCCTGCACAGAGTTGTGGAACTTACTAATCACCACACTGTCCTCAAGGACATTTTATCTTGCCAAAGGCATGGTTTGGAGCGGCAGTCCAGGAGAATGGGCAGACTCTCAAGTTCAAGGGCAAAGCAATGTTACAGAAGTTAAAGCAGCTGGGTTTGCAGGAGCTAACTGTGCAGGTTGTTTTGTGTACACCATCTAGCTGGAACAATTCACAAGCAGCTCTGTGGGTTTTGGTTATCTCCTCTAGCTCTCGTGCTGAGATTTTGTAGATTTTTCTCTCTGCTTTAATTTTACATTCACGTGTGCTAGCTCACTGTCTTCTTACCTCCTGTATCGGTGCTGTTACATAATCACAGACAAGCTGAGGTCGGAAGGGCCTTGTCGGTCATCTGGCCCAACCCTCTCTGCTCAAGCAGTGCCACCATTTAGAGCTGTGTGCCCAGGACCATGTCCAGGCAGCTTTTGAAGGTCTGCAAGGGGGCAGACTCCAACACCTCTGTGGGCAACCTGTGCCAGTGCTCAGTCACACTCACACTGTGAGGAAGCGTTTGCTCGTGTTGAAGTGGAGCCTCCTGTGTTTCAGTCTGTGCCCATTGCCTCTGGTGCTGTCACTGGGCACCACTGAACAGAGTCCAGCTCTGTCCTCTTTGCAGCCTCCCTATTTGTATGCACTGATGAGATCCCCTGGAGCCTTTTCTTCTCCAGGCTGAACATCTCAGCTCTGTCAGCCTGTTCTCACAGGAGAGACACTTCTGTCCCTTTTGTCATCTTTGCGGCCCTTTGTTGGACTCTCCCCAGTGTGTCCATGTCTTTGTACTGGGAAGCCCAGAGCCGCACCCAGCACTCCATATGTGGCCTCACCAGTAGTGTCGCCTCACTAGTGCTCTGCTCAGACCTTCTGTGTCTGAGATTTTAGGTACTCAGACCTTGTGACACTGTGTGAAAGAATACTGAGCTTTATTTGGGCAAATCCCAGACCTTGTCTGTGCTTCTGAACACTGATTTGTTTCCTCCCGGGGCAGCATCTGTGGCACTGTGACTTCATGTGACAATTCTGTGCTACCTCTGGCCTAGCTGAGCATACTCACCTCTCTGTCCTGGCCTTAACTTCCCACTCTTGCTGCTTGTCTCCATAGTGTGTAGCTGATGCAGAAAACTGAGTCAGTGTCAGTCAGTGGAATCTGGAAGAAAACCCTATACTGTTCCTATCCTTCAAACAAACCCCTGCTGCACATGCGCCATGATCTCATGCAACACTGAGAGAGAAGCTTCAGACTCCTGAATACATCCTGGTATAGAACTCGCTTTGTTTAGCTTGTGATGGGATGGCAGCCAGCAGCAAGCCAGTGTGAAGTGATAATGTAGAGAACGGGGGGGATGAGGAGAAAGAAGGTCGTGGAGCCTGAAGATGGTAGTGCTGCATCTTCATCCTCTGAGCGTGAGGAGCGTGAGGAACATGGGCAACACTTTTAAAGTATCCATAACCCAGCATGCTATGGCTTGCCTGTTTCTTGCTGATGCTTTTTTCTGAGCAGCTGGTGAAGAGGGAAATGTATAGTTCGCTGACTTGTATTTTAGAATGGAGCGGGTGGGTGTCTGCTGCCTTTGAGAAGAGAATGCCTCCGTTAGTCACTGACCTGTGGACGTGTTCTGTACAGGAGGGTTGTGCTGCAGCAGCACACTGTGGCACTGGCTGGTACCGCGGCTGGGGCTGCAGGATCCTTAGATGTTGCTGACATCCCAGCCCCTAGTGGTATGACTGGTAGGGAATGCTCCGTTTGAATGCTTGGCATGTTGTACTCCGAGAAAGTAAGGGCTGCTCAGCACTGTTCAAAAGGAGTGCTGCGCCTTGCATCAGTATTGCAAGTTTCACTGACAGTGACGGGCGATTCCTGTGTTGCCATGTGCAGAAAATTCACTGTGCTTGAGCCGTGAGCTATGGATGAGGTAAAATCTTAGTAGCTTTTTAAAAAGTGCTGTATCCATGTTTATCACGGGACTGTGAAATTCAAATGAAAAATATAGTGACTTTTGGTAAAAAAAAAAAAAAAATCAGGATATTTCTTCAAAATTTTACATTAAATGCAGTCTGTGTACACTTCTTGTCACAGAAATTTTAAATGCACATTCTGTGCTTCATGGAAGAGAAATCTGGAAGGCCCAGTATTCAGAACACCTACAGGTACAGACTTACAGCAGTAGTGGTCTAATACTAACAGCAAGGCAAAAGTGGTGTGGAAACAAGTTACCTCTTTTTAAACTTAACACAGAAAAATGTGTGCTTTCCAGCATGCAAAGCTTTGTTCAGTGAGTGGCAACAGCCTAACAATGGTCTGTGATTAGTTAAGGGTTCAACTGATACCTGTGTGAACCCAAAAGCTTCCCTCAGTTATGAAAGCAGCAGAAAGAACCGTTGGTATTACTTGTCTCATTACCTTGCTCAGTCTGAAACAGCAGGCACCTTCATCTGATTTTGTACCAAACTGCGGTGTATGAGCAGCAGGTGGTTTTGGCACCACAGCTAAGTACATGATTTGATCCTGTGTTGTGTGAATTTGCCAAATAAACCAGCCCAGAAATGCGGCAAT